TGAATTTTAACCTAACTGGACACAATAAACCAATTTTTCCCCTATTATGATTCTCTCTTGGGTTTGTGATCCTAAGAAGGGCTGAGTGCCCTCAATAGCTCTCAGAAGTAAATGTGAGTGAAGGGAGTTCAGCACCTTGCACGATCGGGCCATTAAATGGGATGGGTTGAGGCAGGGAACTCTAAGGAGCAAACTGTGTGGAGTAGCCTTTGCTGAGCACTGCCACAGACCTTCAGCAAAGGGGGTTATGAAAGACCATCGATACATACAGCCCACTGGCTGGTTCTATCTTTCCTCTTCTGCTCCAGAACAGTGAGCAAAGGGTCTCTGCTCAGGGAGCTTGAAAGGCTTCAGCTTTGCCTAGACAGAGAGACTCATTCTTCCCTCCAACCAATTCAATGCAATATATTCACAAAATATTGCAAATTGCTTTCGATCTCCTCTGAAGAATGCTGTTAAGGCAGAAAACTGCCTCTGTCCCTACAAAGCAAAGTTTCTTACTGCTTCCCTACCAGAAATACCATCTCCATTAAGTGGATGAGCTGGTGTTCCCTCTTGCCTTTCGGTTGGGTAATATCCTCATTATATCCAATGTCAAACTGTATTCCCTCTCATACCATATAGAAACACACCCAACTCGCCTCGCCAGCAACCGAATACCCATGTATGAAAGGAGGTTGGCCTCGGTCCAGTTCTCAGCATCACACATGCTGGCAGCAAAATCTTTCCAACATCAGACTGCAGAAAAAAAAGACAAATTGTTTGATCCTTCAATTTCAATGTCATCCTAGACAAAAGAAGCTCCTGCAGCCTTTACTTTCTTATCAAGTGGTGGGGTGACGGAGATAAGCTGATCCGATGGGGTAAAGAAGAATTTCCTCCCATAGTGTTGCATGACTGTGCAGGTGTTTCACGGGGTGGGCTTAGTAACCATGGCAGACACTGAACTATCCAGTTAAGGTGACTGTCTGAAGGAATGCTGGACTTAATGGATTGTTTCTCTCTTCCAGTATGGCAATTTTAATGGGCCAAGCGCTGTTCTTCGTTGCTTGTGCTTGGCTCCCAGTTAGTTCAATGGGAGCCCCCCATACACATCCAAGAGCAGAATTTGGCCTTAAGTTCCTCTGTGAAAGCTATTTATTACTCAGCAGCCCAGGATCATAGACTTCCATCTCTGACAAAGGCTCCCTTTTATCTACCCTCTCTGCTGCTTCTTCCTGCCTGGTTTATTGTTAAAATCTGCAGGCTTCAGAGATCATATCCAGTATCCCCATCCCTCAAAGGCCAGCATGTGTGTAGGAGTCTGAGCTACCCTGTTATAATGACTTTCCCCTTTCCCCTCCACGTCCTTGGTGAAAACTTATTGTTTGGGAACCATGAATCTGAACTAGCAGTGACTTACCCTCCTGTCGTCTTTTCAGCTTAGCAATTTTTTGGCCTTTCAACTGTCTGTTGATCTTGTGAACTACTGACTTTGTCAACACCAACCATATGTCTGGACTTCCCCCAAAATGAAAACTACTGACAGTACTACAAATATGAAGTTCCACACTGTGTAAAATAGAATGATTTGTTTGGTTTTTGCTTTCTCTTATATTCTACTCTTTATATAGAATTTTATGGTGCATTCATCAGTGTAGTATCTGAATGCCTTCCAGCAATGCATTAAGCCATGTGACTATGCATCTGTCATGTGTTGTTTGTTCTCTCAGCCTCTCCTAGAGGGAGAAACGGGTGCAGTGGAGTGTCTTGTTTTGGTAGCGTATGGGTTTATATATATACACACCTGTTACTCTGAGTTTATGTAAGAGAAGGCAAGGTCAAAAAAATGCACCTGGCACTTGGCGTGGAAAGTGGTGAGGTTTGCGGAGGTCCTTATTTCCCTGGGGAGTTCATTCCATAGTCTCGGAACACCCCCGGAGAAATCTGTGTCTCCTGCACAGACAAGCTTTATTCTTATTGTTGCAAGCTCCATTGTGCCAAAGAAATGAAGCTGTCGACCGTGGTCTTCATCCCAGAGCTTAGACGATCTTTTAGAGACCTTGGGCCCAGGAAGACATGGAGAGCTTTGAAGTTAAGGACCGAGACCTTGAACTTAATTCAGTATTCTATGGGAGGCCAGTATAGAGAGCAGAAGCCAGGTGCTCTCGGTAGCTGGTGTTGCTGAGGAGGCTCTCTGCAGCATTCTGAAGTGGTTGGAGTTTCCTAAGTGCTAACTGCTTCATGCCTAGGTATATCACATGGCTGCAGTCCAGCCGAGAGGTGGTGAAGGCAGGAATAACTGAGGCCAGGTCTTCGTCCGTCAGGATGGGATGGAGTTTCCAACTGTAAGATCTCTTTCCTATAAATCTGCGTTCCCAGGAAAGATCAGAAACTCCAAAATCAGGCACATAAGCACCTGTGTGATTTGTTTTCATATGTGCATCCCATGTCATTTATTTGAGGAGCTGTGTGACTTACTTGTGTGACCTATATCATCTACGAGCCGTTCTTCATCACACCAGCCTGGCCTGCACAACTCCACGAGTCAGAACTCGTTTGCTCCTACCTCTGTTCCCTCTCTCTTTTTGCCCCCCGCCCTGCTCCACTTGCACAGCCAGGTAGTGTAACTTAGGCCCAGTCTACACTACAGCTTTTAACCGAGTTTGTAGTCAGTGACACAACAGTATCATGATGTGGTTTGTGTCTGTATACCGTATGGTTAATAAGTTGTGGTAGCTGACAGTGCTTTGCCCGGGTCAGTGTCCTAAGCTGGTTACAGTCTTCCTGTAACCAATTTATCACACCATGTTCTGCAGTATAAATGGGACCCCCTAAATGCCTGTGTAACCAGGTTGGCCATCCCGCCTCCTTTTCAGTTCTCTGTGTGGTAGCACATCCCAGAGTGCAGTGCTCCACGTGCTGCTGGTGCCACTGCTGTGCATGTCCTCCAAACACTCTATCCCCTGGTGAGGGACATGGGGATAGCTGCACAGATTTCCCCATGTAGCACTGATACAAACAACCTTCGACAGCCTGGTAGATGTGGATTCTTAATCTTGGTTGACACATGGGAGTGCTGCAAAAAACAAACAAACAACCTGCTCTGTGGATGCAGCTCAGTCTTGTGTGTTGTAATTGGGTCAGATGAATGTCATGAACCAGTTACAGAACCATGGTTGTATCAGTAGCATAGGCAGGGCACCCAGTCGCTTTCCTCTTTAAATCTGGCTTTAAACCTTCCTTTTCTCTTAGGCGTCTGATTCACACTCTTTGTAAAGTGCTTTGCTAAACTCTGTATGAAAAATACTAAATACAGATATGCTAGTGTATAATGATGTCCTTGTCACCAATTTTTTTAAGCAAAACAGCAGTGTTTTTCCTGTCTCTTGAGCTGTATTGCCAGACTCCCTGCTCAGGTTTTCAGTGAAAAACACATTTCACCCTTTTTGACAATCTGAGCTGCTTGGTACCACTGCAATCTACTTCTGCGTGTTTCTCTTAGCATTAAGTCTGAAGTAACAGGAGACACGTTCTGTACTTGGGTGCTTGTGTGCAATTTCCTTCGAAGTCATGGGGAGGTGCATGCACACATCTGAGGGCACAGTTTGACCCTATGTATTTTTCTTATATTAATCGATACTTTAGAACAGTTGTTCCAATATCTTTGCCACATCACCTAATATTTTATGTAAGTTAAGGAATGAGCGACTATTTCCAGAGCTCAATAAAATGTGCTTAGGAATTAAAGCTTCACTTTCTGTTCTATGCACCATGCAGATATTTTAAATATAGAATTTGAACAACTCACATTTTTAATGTTATGTTTATTTTATATCTACCTGGCTATTTCTGTGGCCTCCATCACTGTAGTATCTGAGCTCCTCACAATCTTTAATGCATTTATTCTTGCAACATCCCTGTGAGGCAAGGAAGTACAGTTATCCCCATTTTACAGGTAGGAACTGAGACCCAGAGGGATTAAGGGCCATAGTCTCTGTTTATGTTAATTGGCTAGTAGCCCATTAACTTCAGTGAAGCTGCCCCTGTTTTCACCAGCAGAAACTGGCATTTTCAGAAGCATACAGTCCCATTTTCAAAAGCAATTTATGCACTTAGGAGCCAAAGTCCCATTGACTTTCAGTGAGATTTAGGCTTCTAAAGGCTGAAGGTATTTAAGTGCCTAAAGATGCCTAGTGGGATTTTCCAAAGCACTTAACTCCTATTGAAACCGGTGGTTGTTAGTCACCTAGGCACTTTTGAAAATCCCACTAGGTGCCTATTTGCATCTTTAAGCACCTAAAAACCTTTGAAAATAGGACTTAAACTTCTAAGGCACTTAGACCTTTTTGAAAATTTACCTGTAAATTACTTGCCTGAGATCACACAGGAAACTTGTGGCAGAGCCAAGAACTGAATCCAACTGCAAGACTCAGGTTAGTGGCTGAATCATTAGACAATCCTTCCTTGTTTACAGAAGCTAGAGTAACACCAATAGGGTAAATACCAGTGAAAAGGATACAAAATTACATCAAAGACATAACTAGAATTAAATTAAGAGATTATATTACAAGCTATAAAACAGCTATCAACATACAAAGCAGGGTCTGTTTTCAGGAGCATTCTCACATTGCAAATGTATTTATTTAGTAACTTTTGTTCTCCTAAAAAAAAAAAAGAAAGAAACCATTTTAAAAAGCCAGCTTATTCATTTGACAGTAAGAATGAATTTTAATAATGAAATTAAATCCATATTTCAGTAGAACTCTGTATATCTGAAGGGAGCAATTGATATGAAATTTATCTGGATAAAAAAAGGCTTCTGGTAGAGGAGTTTTTCATTTAAGTGATGCATATTGGGAGGGAGCAACAATAAAAAAGTGGATAATGGGGGATTGGCTAAGAAGAATTAATAATTGTAAATCAAATCTTTTGATAGAGCTTTTGGTGACCACAATTTGTTTGCCTTAGAATTGTGCGCTATTGAGGGAACTCTCGGGAATTATTGGAGCTTGTACCTGTTAATCCACAAGCTTATACTTTGTATTTATTTCTTTTGTTTAGAATGAAGTGATAAGTCAGCAACTGTCTGTCATTTTCACTCATTGCTATGGACCTTATCCTATTCCAAAACTTGTTGAAATCAAACGAAAGCAGACCTCTCGTTTAGGTAAGTCTGAGGTGAGGTGCAGATCACAATGTTCACAGAGAGCTGTCCTAGGATTTGGAGAGAGCAAAAGAAAGGAAAGAGGGCAAACGTTAATGAAAATGATTGAAATAAAGTCAGTCTTTGGGTTTCTAAGCATTGCTGCAAGACCTCTGGCATCAGAAATGTGATTTCAGTTTGAATGCTTTGGAGCCGCTGCATTCTTCTATGTACTAGGCAGTCGTTATGGCCAGAAGACAGAGCACACCTAACTGTAAAATGCAGAATTGGAAAAACTAGTCTAGGGGCTCAATCCTGCATTTCTTATTCACTTCAAATTTCCATTGAAATCGACAGGTGTCTTGGATGCCCAGGATTGGGCCTGTAGTTTTGCAAGTTACTTTGGGGTCTGATTCCTTTACACTCAGGCCACACAGCCAGAGTGGTGTCAAAGGGCCTTAATGTACATGAGAATCGGGGCCCTTGTGTCTGCTTAGGTACAGATGTCACTAGGTGCAGAGGGAGAACAGGACTAGGGAGCTGTTCAAAGTTCATCCAAAGTCTAGAATGACCTGCATGTGATGGATGGCTGTTATCTTATATGAGATAAAAATGACTGTCAGAGTTTTTGAATTGCCTTTGTATAGATTCTGTTAGAATATGTACATATCTTCCACCTCAGACTATTCAAACCAGCTTCACAGGCTTTTCTCATTTAAAAACATATCCCCTTAAGCCATTGTCTTTTCTCACAAAAACAGGAAAATGCTTTCTATACCTTTCACCTGTTCCCGACTAAAGTTTTTCTTTTCCTTTTGTGATTCCAGATCCCCATTTTCTTAACAATAAAGAGATGTCAGATGTTACATTTCTGGTGGAAGGAAGACCATTTTATGCGCATCGAGTGTTACTATTTACTGCATCCCCAAGGTAAATGTACAGGTGTATTTTTTTAATAAATGCAAATAATTTGATCTTTTCTGTTGAGATTTGTTGGCACTAATGATTCAGGTAATGGGCCTCAGACTTTTCTGTGAACGTGGAAATTCTGTAATTACCCCCAGAACTGAGTGCTGTTGATCTATGTTAAGGATGTAACAACTAGAAATGCCATTTGTTCATTAACCCTTAGGATGCTGGGCATTCCAGAGGCACCTACGGTAGACGGTATTGTGGTGGACACATTCAAAATGCGTCGACAAACACACGTTTTAAACTTTCAGGAATGTCCATTTTTTTAAGGTTTGGGGGAACCTGTGGATGGAGGGAGGATCTCTGGGAAGAGGAGGAAGTTCCAGGTTGGAATTCCTGGGTGGAGCCATTCCCATCATATGTGCCCCACTTCTGGAAATCTCCCCTTCTTCCACAGCCTACATAGGTGGCTTGCCTTGCCAGATCCCTCCCCTTGCTTCACACATAAGAAAAACTGACATGGAGCCTGTAGCAGTTCCATGCTGAAAGGCTGTCCAGCAGGGAGATAAGTCATGTGGGTATCAGGAGACTCAGCACCCACTTGCAGAGGGTTGGGGTTCTTGCATGGAAATTGGGGGAACGGAACAAGGAAGAGCTAAGTGGGAGAAGGTCTCTTTTGAGAAAAGGGAAGGAGGTTCTACGGGTTAACTTTTGGAAAAGGTTGGGGATGAAATTCTGGTCCTGTTAACGACAATGGTAAAACTCCCATTGGCTTCAGTGAGGCAGGATTTCATCGCTAGTATCTATGATGAATCCAGCCCATTGTCTTAACCACGCATTGGGTGGAAGGTTTGGGTTACAGCTTCGGAGAGTGGGAAAATCTTTTGCTTGTCTATTATACTTTCCAACTCTTGAGAGAAAAATTGTGGCACTTGAAGTCCAAACATGCAAGTATCCCTTGGAGAGCAAGGAGGAGCTGGGGTAAGGTACTCCTCAACCCCTCCCTCCCCCCAAAATTGAATTACACCTCTACCTCGGTATACGCTGTCCTCGGGAGCCAAAAAATCTTACCGCGTTATAGGTGAAACCGTGTTATATCGAACTTGCTTTGATCCACCGGAGTGCACAGCCCCGCGCCCCCTTCCCCCCCGCAGCACTGCTTTACCGCGTTATATCAGAATTCATGTTATATCGGGTCACGTTATATCGAGGTAGCGGTGTATTAACCTAGGACACAATTTCCTGCTATCTAGAAAACACACCTTTAAATGCAGATACCTAAAAACAAGTATAAGGAACCTGGTACACTTACCTGGAGCTGGATTTACAAAGAAAATATAATTGAGAGGGTTTCTGTGTATATCACCCTTCTCAGATAAAATGTTGTAGACTGCCATTTCATGATTCTCAGCTTTCTTTTCCTGTATGTGGAGGAGATAATTATTTGACTGTCAACGCCTAATTAAAATACTAACTACACACACACACACACACACACACACACACACACACACACACACACACACACACACACTGTTTCAGCCCTAATACAGCAATCAATCACGAAATTACATTGTCTGCCATGGATTAGCGTTGAGAAGGAAAATAGGCATATAAGAGAATGCTGTGAGTCATGAAATACAATGTCAAGAGTAAAAAGGATATCCTGAATATTGTGAGATGCAACAAAGGCAAAAAACGTAGTAAACAAGAGGACTCAGTGACACAGAGAACTGGTAATGCAGGGCCTTTCAGCTCTAAGGTACGGGCTTGAATATAGCCAGTGCTGATTGTGAATGAAAGCATTTATTATCTGTTGGCTGGTTGTGATTTGAGTGGTGGTCTCAGACTAGTTTTAAGTGGAGATATGTCCCTGATAACAAAAAGCACCAGCACAAGCTGCCAGACTTAGCAGAGGTACGTTGAAAAGGCAGTCCTTCGAAAACAAAGGTATGACTCATTGGGAACATTGCACATTTGCTGTCCTTGCTTAGCTGTCCTGTGCATGAAGGTGTGCATTCAGGCCCTGATTCAGGAAAGCATTTAGACCCTTGCTTAAGTCTGTCCCTTGTCTAGGCCAATGCTTATGTGTTGTCCTGAGTAGAAATGTTTTCCTGAATCAGGGCCAAAAAGAGGTCTTCAGTTTCTAAGGATGTCAATCCCAATCTAGTAATTTAAACATTTTTAAAAGCTAAAATCCTAGATTTATAGGTAAATATCTACATATCTGTATAAATATCACATACAATTACAATTAACTTAAATGACTTCTACTCTGCTTTTATGTCCAAATCTATGGTTGAAATGAGAATTTTAACATTCTGAGAACAGCGATATATCCAATTCTTTCTCTCTCCATCCCCAAACAATTGTAGTAAACCTGCATTAAAGTATTAAACTTCTTTGTGTAGAATCGTCAACATTTTGCCCTGGCCATCTTGCAAGCCAGCACTATGGAGATGTGAGAAGGGAAAAAAAGCTGCAAATATTTAAAATGCAAGCTGATATCAATCCAAAAATCAGAGGGGTAGCCGTGTTAGTCTGAATCTGTAAAAAGCAACAGAGGGTCCTGTGGCACTTTTAAGA